GGGCGCCGCTCCGGATGCTGATTGGTGGGGTCCGGGGAGGGGGCGTGCTCTGCCCGCGCAGCTGGAGGCTACGGGAAAGTCGGAGACGAGGGCCCGGGAGGGGCGGCTGCCCGCGCGCGCCTTCGCCGGAGCGCGGGGCCCTGGATTTGGAACAGGTGACCAGGCCTGCGCCTCCCTCGGCCTGGTGGCGAGGATCGCCGAAGACGGGGGTCGGGGTGGCGACGGGGAAGTGGTGCCCCGGGGTCCACGCGCCCACCTCCCAGCCTTTAATGGCCCGGGGCAGGCCCGTGTTCCGAGACGCTCCCTTGCTCCTCCCCCCTTCTCGCCAACATCAGCAGGAAAAGCTGTGGGGAGGCAGGACTGGGCGCGATCTAAGGATGCCGTTCTCCCATCAGAGCGGTCGAGGGACTTCCACGTGCGCAGCGCTCTGTGGCGCTTTCTGCTGGGTGAGAGGGACGCAGGACTTTGCCGTGGCACGCAGCAGCCCTCCAACAGGTGTTCAGAGGCTGAGAGGCGGTGACTTAGGTAGGATGGGGGCTGGGCCAGGAAAATCTTCCTTCTGGAGAGCGTAGGACAGTGATTGGGGCGTGTTTGTGCGAAGCCCCTCGCCCCCAGGCGCCTGGATCGAAATCTGGGGTGTATGTGCAATTTGAAAAGCAACGTCATAATTTAATACATTGAGATGAATAGAGTATTTTTTTTTTTTTTTGTAAAAACCATGGAGAATGACAGCCAGAAGATGAGTTTCGATTAAGAGCCTGAGAGGTGGTCTTACCCTTCCCAGGAGATGGAACGACTTTTTTCTTGTAAATACTGAGGGCTCTTCTAGGATGGGACCTAGGACTGGCACCGACAGGGAAAATGCCTCCTCTGGTGGCTGGGTGGGTGGGAGAGCGGGCTTCATGGGGCTGGGCAGGGCAGGGCTCTCCTTCCCTACTCGGGACCATTGCCATGGGCACCTGGCGCTGGCAGCCTTCACTAGGCCTGAGGCCATGCTCAGGAGTCTGGCTGTGCCCAGCAGGTTTAGAATGACCCAGCAGGGGATGCCCAGAACCTAGAGCTGGCATGGGTTAATATCACCATGAATGAATGACTCAGAATGTCAGCAGTGAAAGGGTCTTAGGGATCATTCAGTCCAATCTTACTTTACAGATGAAGAAAATGAGAACCAGAGCAGAGAAGGACTTCTTTAAGGTCACACAGTGCCTATGTGACAGCTAGAACAAAGACAGGTTCCAGCACTCCGGGCCAAGTGGCCTTCCCACTACACCGTGGGCCCAGAAGGTATTTCATACTCAGTCTGTGCAGGCATCAGCAGAAATCAAATGCAGAGCACAGGGGGAGCTAAATGGAGGAGGAGTGAGGTGGGGCACTGTGCCTTTGGCATGGGCCCCTGCCCTCAGGCAGCAACCAACCCAGGGCCCGGCTGACAGCCACAGGGGAGGGCCTGAGGCAGTGAAGGCCTGTTCTGAGCACCTTCTGGGGAAGGGGTTGCAGATACGTTTTTCAGTCTCTTCCTCACTCCTCTACTCCCTAATCCCTAACTCCTGAAACCCGGCAGTAATCTGCGCTTGCCAGCCCAGTTGCTTTTGCAAGTTTGTGTTGGCACTCAAGTTAAAAAGTCGTGCCTTTACTTCCTCCCTCTCTCCCACCAAAAATAAACAAAAGAGCCCGAATGCCGTGGGGCTCCCGCAGAAGCCTGGCAGGTTTGCTGACACTGAACTCTGAGCTCTTAGCACGAGAACGCCGGCCCCCAGAGTGGTATGAAGATTATTATTCTATAAATGGAAAATTCCACTCTGTTCACGCAGCCTGCATACTTTCAGGTATGCAGACTTCAGGCTCTGAAGAGCAGAAGCCACCATTCTGAGACAAACTTGGCAAGGAAAGTTTAAAGCTGCCGGCTGCTGTGTCTGGTCCCCCTTGGTCAGGCCAAAGGGAAGACGGCAGGTAATTGGAGGCCTCCTTTTCTCCGCCATGTGGTTTTTAGCCCCTGTGGTTGTATGAGAAGAAGGAAAACATTTAAGTGACCATGAATACGAACAAATGCCTTGACTGGGAACTGCAGCCTGGGTGTGTGGGTAGCGGTGATTGCACGGAGATGCCCTGGAAGGAGGTGGAAAGGAATGAGACTGTCCTGGGGTCTAGCCACGTGCTGCATCCCCGGGCTGTACCCCTTGCTCACTGTCACCCTTTTGTAAATAGGTGTTTGCCCCGGGAGGAACGTCTGGAAGTATAGGCACAGTGCACAAAGGCTTCTGACTTTGGACACATGCTGGGCCTCAGTGCATGGGGAGCCTTTGCTGTTAGTGACCATAGGAAGGCCAGAGTGGTGCCTGTTCCAGCTCTGGGTTAAATAAGCAGTCACTGGAGCCAGCTGGTTAGCTCAGTTGGTTAGAGTGTGGTGCAGATAGCACCAGGGTGCAGGGTCCAATCCTGGCACTGGCCAGCTGCCCTAAAAACAAAACAAATAGTTACCTTTTCACCAAGCACAGGCCTCAGCCTGGCCGTGGACTCTCTAGTGCTCATTGAGGTGGCAGAATTGACTTCAGAGATATTCTTAGTGCCTCTGATAACATCTGAATGCCTCTTGTTCACTTCCCCAGAGTCTGGAATGAAATAGAAATAGCCAGAGTGTGAAAGTTTCTTCAAGGGACACCCTCAGATTGGTGGAGGCAGGAAGACAGGTGGGCATGGGCTTCATCTCCGAAGTTAGGGTGTTGCTCACTTTCTTCTACTGGGGCCTGCATGGCATGGGGAGAGGGCTCAGGTTGGGCAGTGGGGTGGTCTGCTGGGGCCCTGTGGGTCCCACCTCTCCGCACAGCCCCCAGCCCAGGCCATTTCCTTTGCTGGCAGCAGAACTGACCCAGGAGAGGCAACATGCAGACCTTGGGCATCTCGAGGCTCTTCAGGAACATAGGTCAGCCCTGGGGAATGAGGCATCTTGGTGGGTGTCCAGGCAGCCACAGAGATGCTGTTTGTCAGGCTCTGGGTTCCCGCTGACCTGCCTGCCAAGCTTTTGCCGGGGGCAAGATGTGCCGTGGGGTTTGGGCATTTGGGGGCTGTCTTCTGGAATGGTGTGGCCTTTGTCTATATCATGCCTCTGGCCAAGCTCAGAGGGTCCTGGGGATAAGGCTCCTGCCCTTTGGGGGCTTAGAGTCTGCCATAGTGGTGAAGTGGGGAGAGCTTGCTGGGCCCCTGCTGAGGTATGTGTGGCCTTGGATAGAGACTTAACTTCTCTGGGCCCCAGCTCCTTCCCCTGATCAGCGAAGGAGCTCATCATGTAAAGTGGCAGCTGCATTTGGGTGCCAACCGGCAGCCACTTCCCCTTCTTGCTTATTTGTGTTCCAAGTCTCTCCCTCAGCCTCAGGGATGAGCTGCAACAGGTTTAAGCCAGATAGAAACATCCCATGTCCCCTCGTAAGAAGAGGGCTGCCAACCCAGTCTGGCCCTTGAAATATAAGGGGATCTCTGTGAGGGGGATTCTGGGAAGGAGTTTGCTCCCTTATTTAAAAAGGAAAAAAAAGATAAAAAAGAGGACCAGGACCCTCACCTTTTTCAGCTCAGGTGATGGAGCTGTGGCATCCTTGAGGTGACAAGTCTTATTATTATTATTATTATTATTTTTTTTGTCTTTTTCCGTGTCCGGCAACGGATCGCAACCCTCAGTGTCGCCCCCGTACCGGACCGGGACCGGCAACGGGATCGCAACCCTCGGTGTTGCCCCCGTGCCTCACTCAGCCAGTGAGCGGGAACCGGTCTGTATGTGGGATCCGAACCCTCGGCGGGAGCGCCGCCGCGCTTCCCAAGCGGCGCACTATCCAGTGCGCCACCGGGCCGGCCCGAGGTGACAAGTCTTAAGGACAAAAAGCTGGCACACCAGTGATGATTTATCGGAGAAGTTAAAAAAAAAAGCCCTGGTGACATTTTTGTTGATGACTTGGTGACTGGTTACAGGAGATAATTAAACGTCTTTATTGTTTCAGCCACTGCGAGTCAGGTATTCTTTTACTTGCAGCTAACTTCATTCTAATTAAAACATGTACTAATATGAAAACGATGCATTTGCTAATTCTGTCAGGAAGGTAGGATACGATATTCTGCCCAGATGGAGGTGACAACCATGTCAGAATTTGGGTGTGGGCAAGAGCTGGAAGGGAATAGGGAGAATTGAGAGCAGGTGCTTCGTGGGTGTCTCTTCTCTCAACCCCTGCCCGGGGCCAGACTCCCAGCTGATAGTAATAGGAACACCATCAACGCCAAGTGCTTGACACACCCCATCGCGTGTGACCCAGCCCCCTCCACAGCTGCCCCTGCATGTATAGAGAAGGGCAAGGCTAAGGAGGAGCAGGGCTGAGATTTGCATCTGTGGCCCCCTTCCTCTGAAGCTGGGTTCTTGCCTCTTCAGTGCACTTGATTATTCTTGGGGCTTCTGGAGTCCAGATTGTGGGGGTGGGGTGGGGAGGGCAGCCAGCAACACACAGCAACAGGGGCAGGAGGGGATGGTGCAAGGAACCACCTGGGGCAAAACCAGGCACATTCCATTCTGCATCAGAGATGTCCCCAAACAAAACCAATTCATTTAAAAGCAGTCTGGACGTTTCTATTTAACCAGTAGTGGGTATTTTTTATAAGGTGAATTAACCTTTCTCTCTGTTACACCTTCTCTCCTCCCAGCCCTGTGGTTTTCCTTTAGAAATCTGGAGTGTCTCAGTTTTGTGTAAAGCAGGAGATGCCTGGGGGCTGACAGGCTGAAAGGCATGTGTCTCTGGGCTGATGACGCTGATAGTAGTAATAGCAGCAGCTCACAGGTACTGAGCCCTTACAGAGCACTCAGCGTTAACTTACATCATTTCTGAAACCTCCCAGCAGCTCTGTAATGACACCTATTTCCCAAAGAGGGAAAAGAGTTTTTGAGAGGCTAAATGCATCCCTTGCCTCCTGCAGCTCATTCTCCAAGGCCTGTAGTGTTTGTTAATCATCACACCTCCTTGATCATCCCTGGCCTGTGGATACTTGTTTAAAATTCTCTACTTCCTGCTTCCCCTCTTCCTGTTTCCCTAAATGGCAACATCAGCCTTCTCTGGCTCAAATTCAACGCTTGCTGTCAGCAGGGAGACAGGAGTAAAAAGCTGGGGTCCCTAGAGGGGAAAGGAAGAGTTATACTAAAATGGTGAAATCAAGTTCAAGGGCCGGCCTGGTGGCGCACTGCTACAGTGCGCCGCTTGGGAGCGCGGAGGCGCTCCCGCCG